CTGAAGACGGGGGTTCTTTTATGGGAAACTGGTCCCTATTTAGAGGTTACTGACGTGAAGAAAATCCGGAAAATTCCACGTGGCTAGTCCGTTGGACATGTGCGAACCTACGACCCACGAAGCTTAAACATGAATAATGTATGGAATATTATTATTTAATCTGGGCCCACTATTGGCCGAGTAGATAAAACCAGTAAACATTAGACCTGACTATCAAGTTGGTCGCGTGGAGTTTTCCGGGTTTTATTCACGTGTCTAAAGCACCTAAATAGGGGCTTGTTTCTCGTAGAAATTCCTCCTGAAGGCATCCTCACTCCGAAGATCGCTCAAGTGGTAATTACTTGTTTTATTCCATCAATTCAATCCTCGTTAATCCTATCATTTTTAAAGTTATGCTATTATAAAACATATCTAACCGTTTGAAAAATAGTTAAATTACGTTAAAATCGTTTTAAATCATCGAAGTATACTGTTTATAAAGTAAAACCTATTTAAAACGGAACCTTAATAAAGCGGAAACCTGACTAAATTCTTCGGAATTTTGCAATTTTGTGATTTAAAAAAGAAAAAAAAAAACCTATTCAAAACACATCTTTACACAAGTTTATAGTAAAAACTGCGTGTAAACCGAACTCGCATGTCCGGTTTACACAGGTTTTAATGTATATTTAATATTAATTCTTTATCATTAACGAGTATCGAATAACGAATTCATCTCATAAATAATTCCACTTTTACAGTAGAAAAGGCAAGTATTAATGATAAAAATGATTGATTTGTCACACTTTGTCATGAACTTTATGAAATAAAATAAATATAAAACATAAATATACAGTTTATAGTGTGTTCGTGTCTCAACAAAGAGCTAGTCACGTGAAATTTTCCATGTTTTCTTCACCTATCTAACACTTAAATAGGAGCCAAATTTCCCATAAGTTACGTGGAGTGTTCCTTATTTTTCTCACGTGTCTAATACCTAAATAAGGGACTAGTTTCCCATAGAAAGATCACCCCTCTTATCAGGTTAGATTACCATATTCTATGAAATCAATACTAAACCCATTAAGTAGGAAAAAATGAAATAAATTCTATCAATTGTAAAAACGTAACGAAGATTACTACACATGTATTTAATAAATAATATTTCATTAAATAATTATTACAATAAGTCTACATAATTGAAAATGGAAGAATTTATTAGCGAGGTTGCGGCCGAAGTTTTCATCTCTAAAACGTGAACGTCGAACGTCTACGCCTCTATATTGTAAGCGGCGCTCGACGTTCGACGTTCACGTTCAGATGAAAACGTTCAGACGTTCACGTTCGACGTTCACGTTTGAAAGATGAAAACTTCGGCCGCAACCTCTGTATTAAGTCGTTGAATTACTATTGTATGGGAACAGCGAGGTTGTGGCCGAAGTTTTCATGTCTAAAACGTGAACGTCAAACGTCGAGCTCCGCTATATTGTAAGCGGCNTTTTAGTTCATATCTTTGAAAGTAAATCGTAGTTTCGGTAATAACTTAGCTTAACTAGATGGGTTTTTTTTTTTTTTAACTGAAGGAGAGAGAATGTCTTTTCAAGTTTCCTTTTGTAAACACGTAAGAGGAACAATTCACAATAAATAACCTTACTTTTTCTACAGTCGACGTAACTTGATATTACCGCACTTTGAACAGAAACTAGATTATATTAATTCCACGAGTAGAGAGAGAGTTTGAATTAACAAATCTTTTCGCTTTGATCAATCAGATACTCTTCGTAACTCATAAACCATATTTAATAGGTCACAGATTATATACGACGAAGCCATTTTATATAAAATAATTAAATAATGTTTTTAAAATGGAGTCGTTTCTGTGATGACCTTACGACTGGCGTGACTTTTAACAATAAACGAAAACGAAGAAGTACTTTTACAGTATAATTTTTAACAGAAATTAAGTATAATTATGTCTACTACTTTAAATAAATAATAATAATAATAATAGGTAATTTTATTGATCGCACGTATAATGATTTGGGGAGGGTTAAATTAGGACAAATGTAATAAATAAATTTATATATAATAACATATAATATGTGTTTTATGTTCATAAAAATTCTCGTTTTGTATGTGTGATGTGTGTTATGCTGTGTGTGTGTTGTATTGAAGATATATATATATATATATATNGAATTCTAATAATCAGTAATTTTCATTTTACTACACAGAAAAATTAAATTATCAATCAAGGTATTTACTTTATTCATAATTTTAAACTTTGTCTATTAAGAACAATCATTCTAGGAAATTGATACTCCCAAGTAGTGTATTTCAATCATAAGTTTTTATATAGAAAATCAATCTTTAAATGTTTTATTGGGCACTGCCAAGCAGGAATGAGTTGGCTCAAAATTTTCTAAGCTTGTACAAACTCAAAAATAATGCTTTTGTTATTTTGGTATAATATAATATTTTTGTTGCTTGAGAGTAGAACAAACCCTGCTCCATTGTCACATTCACCTGCTGAAAAAGATTCTTTACCTTTTGGGTAAAGAAACTTTCAGCAGATGAATTCTTTTTCTCTCTTTTTGCATCTTTTTCATCTCTTTTTGTACGAACAAAATGTCAGGAAAATATTAGCATGTATCAAAGATTCACCTCTAAATTAGATAAAACAATTGGAGTACTAGAAAATTTAGTTACAGAAGAAATACAATTAATGACAAGTGTTAATGCAGTTACTTGAGGAATTTAAGAAAATGGGAAAAATAAATTACAAAGAGAAGTTATCACCAAAAAAAACTATAACAAATTACACAGGTGATACAGGCATTTAATTTTATTATATTAAGTCAATCTAGCACCTTGAAATTTGGAAATAAAAGATAGTTTAAAAGAAAAATAATTATTTATTCTACTTTCAGAATAAAAAGTTTTAAATGAATTTATGTAAATAAGATTAAGACAGAAACAATCACAATTTTGGATTAACATGGAGATAAATGCATTAAATTTAAACAAATTTATAATAAATCCAGAACTATTTAAAGAAAAAGATAAGATTAAATATTGTACGATATATGTTGTTATTTTTTGAATTTAAAATGTCACTTTGCAAAAGAGATTTTGGATATCCTCATAAAGAAAAAGGCCCTACAATATTAAAAATATTTAGAGATTAATAAAAGTAAGTAATAAACTTCTTTTTTACAACTCATACATAATAATAATGAAATTGAACAGACATTTAAGATAATGTAATCATTAAATAACTCAAGGAATTGAAAGAAAAACGTAGTGTATTCCAAAAATTGAAGAGACAAGAGAAACAGGTAAAATTAAATTTCACACCAACCAGAAATTATATCATTTCTATGTTAAAAAAATATATTCATAATACCTCTAAAAAAGTTGTTTTAACACAAAGTATGCAAAAGTAATCTATATTGAAACAATTATTCACACTAATTGAGTGCAAATTGAGTTTTAACAAATTTCTTTAAATATGGCAATTTGAATTTAGTAATCTTTTTTCTTTATGCTGTATGAATGTCAAAAGTTAATAACCCAAATGAGGAATAATCTTGTACAGTACATGTAGGAAAATGGTCTGGACATACTTAATTCTTCACATAAATCTAATAAAAAGTGGAACATATTAATAAATTAGTATTAACGATTTTCTGTTACGGATAATACAGATGAGCTGCTGGAACTTAAACATATCAAAACAGTCATTTAATATAATATAGTCAAAAGTCATCAACTAATTAACTACTTTCATTCCTAATTCATTATAATTTTTATCTGTAGTTATCAGAAATTACAGTATCATTGAATTGCTCTAGTTGTGAATTGAAATCACATTGAAACAGTCAGTTGTTCTGAAATTCCTCTACACTGAACAACCTATTATAAAGTTCCACCTTCAACTATATCTAGCCAAGAAGTGTCATTAAAATTTTTTCAAAATTGGCAAAGTTGACATTCCTTACATCTAGTTCTCCCTAAATCAGATAAGGCCAATGTGAAACAAATTTGAGAAATATTTGCATGTTCGTCTAAAAAATCAATTAAGGGAGTCTCTCGGCAATTGCAGCTACTGAAGTCAGAAGTGTGATTTCATCTATTTCTATACAAGCTCCAGCTATTTCATACAATATAGAGCCAGATGACAAACCAAAGTGCATGGCATTTGCAATTGATATGCAGAATGGTTTGAAAAATAATTGTGCTTACTAACATTGTTTTTTTGGATAAATTTGCATTTCATGTTCGTGGCAATGTCTGTATTTGGATAGTGCAAAACCATGCAACAAAAGCAGAATGTGTTAGCCAGAAAGTAAATGTCATGCATAAAGCAGCACCAAACAAAGTGTTTAGCTACAAAAAAAAATATGGCCCATAGTCAATGCCAACAATTATTAGGATATATTAGAACTATACCATGACTAAAGATTAGCAGCCTAATAGAAATCTACAGTCTTGCTGAAAGATCACAGGCAATGAGGAGTGCAAATACTTTCGGCTCAATTGTTTTCCCAGCAGTAGGTAGGTCAAGATAGTCCCATTTTAGGGCCAACTAGATCCCCATTTAGATACGTCATCTTTGACGTCCACAGGAAAAAATAAAATAGTTTATTGTACACTAGTTTGATGTTGATAAATTGGCAATTTTTTCCTTCAATGCTATAGCCACAGTGGAGAGAACTGGAATATATACAAGAATCTTCTTATTACATGTGACTATGATTTTACACTTAACTTTAATATTAAAACCTGTCTTTTTTTTTTATTATTCCGATGGTCAGTTTTTGTTATTTTGAATTTCACGAATGAATTTATTGTATGTGTCTGAAAAAGATACTAAAATATTTTTACATTTATAAAAGTTTTGATTTGTCTATCAATAAAAAATAATGAACATTAATTCCTTTTTAAAGCGAGTGAGAAAATGACAAAACTAAAAGTGTTTTAAAATATTAGAATATTATTTAACAATTTAATCTCTAATTAAAAATACACCACAAAGCTTTGATAAGTGAAGATTTTATTTACTATTTACCAGTATCTTTATGCATATAGTAAATAGATTACATTAATATTGTCATCTATAATGAAATAACAAATAGTTTATTTATTAAAGATAAAAATTGATTTAATTCCCTAATAAAGTTTGTTTTAACTCATTACTTTCATTTAATTCCTAAAAAAAAAAAAAGGAAAAGAATTTTAATACTTTTACCATTGAAATTTTTTTATATTTAGAAAATGTAATTTACCTTAATTATATCTAATCCTCCAATCAAAGTACCATTGACATACACTTGAGGATAAGTTGGCCAATTTGAATAAATTTTTAATCCTTGACGTACCTCTTCATCTTGTAATATGTCAAATGTTTCGTAACTTACACTAAAATTAAAAAGTATAATTTTTAATTAAAAATTAAGAATGGAATCTTAAATATTTATTATTTGCTTTATTATACTTACCCAATTTCATTCATTATTCCAATAAGAGTTTTACTGAAACCACAACGAGGAACATCAGGATTTCCTTTCATGAATATCATCACTGGTGCTTTTTTAATAAGAGCCTCAAGCCTACAAAATATTCTTATAATTAAAATTTGAATCCAGAGAAAAGTCTAATTTTTTATGTTATAAAGAAGAAATATATACAGTCAAACCTATACAAATTTTCCCATAATGTAATATGGATTAATCCATTCCTGACCCCAAAATAGTTTTTTTTTTTTTTTTTTACCTTTTAGAAAATTTGATAACCCTCTTTTGTTAGAGGAGAAACTGCAAATATATTAAATTTTAATCAATGTTTTTTTTTCTTTCAATTTATAAAATAAAAATAAAACTTGTTTTAATTCTATTTACAGGAATTTTGGAAAGATTCTATACGATTTCTAACACTGTCTATAGTTCTGATATTGTTGTTGATTACTTCCATCGTCTTCTTACCTCTTCAGGATGTGTTCGAGAGATGTTCATGGATAATTTCTTTCATTGTCTGGTTCTACTTGGTAGTGACAATATCCATATTCTCGTTCAGTAAAGAATTGCGTACCTGTTCGGATAACCTTATTCCGGTTTTCTTTACCGTCTTTGTTATCAACACCATGCTTCCTCTACCTATAATTGTGGCGGCATTAACTGGTGTACTTACAGCCATTTCCCAAGTGGTTTTAGAAGCAGCTCTGGCTAATTCAGACACGGAATATCTAGCACAGCAGGTAAGTGCAAGGTTTATTTTATTCTCATCCCTTTTGTGTTGCTAGAAAGGTAGTTTCGCTTTTCTAAAGAACGAAAATATTCGATCGAAAGTTCTTGTCGCGATAAACTTTATGCTCTTCTGCTCCTCCTCTCTTGCAATTTTACTACCTTTTACGTGTATATAAACTTAAATAAATTTATAAAAATGCATTCTGTTAATCACGAAAATGTTTTTAAATAACCATGTTTACTCGGTTTATATTAAATAATAAAATTATTAATAATATAAATCTATAGAAAATTTGAAAATTTATACCTTAAAATTGCCATTTAATCCCTCAGAGCTAGAACTTATTTAAGTTATTTAATTAAAGAATTTTTATCCAACGATCAAAATTGATCTCAAATAATGAACGTTTCTTCGTAAGTCATTATCCACTCAGCAAATTTTAACTTGCTCGAAGCCCGAAGATGGTTGATTAATTCTTACATCGATCATGATGATGAGACGTGCACCAAATCCGTCCTTGTTCTCTATATGTGATTTGTATCGTATACGAAAATCATCAGTAATAGAAACTCTCCCCAACAATTTTTCAGTTAATTATTGTAACATTATCAATTATTTATAACTGATTCTAGATCTATCGCATCTTATTGTTCATTAAAGTAAAACAGTTAAGGGGTTAAGGAGTTTCTTCTGTATGTGTGTGAGGGGACACGATTTTTTTCACTCGGTTTGAACCTTGATAACTCCTGTGCCTTTTGTCGAAATTTTCTGAAATTTTGCGGAGGATTTGGTATGTTAGAGGTAAAGATTTCTGGAAATTTTCAGGTAAATCGGACGGTTGGTTCCGGAGATACGCCTCCATTCCTGTAACATCTCACGAACCAATCTGAAAACCTTACAGGTAATGGTGGCAATTATTATGGAAGAAAACAAAGTAATGTCGAGAAAGTCCAGCCTTTTTTAAGTTTTATTTACTAATACTTCTGCCATTTTAGAGAATTAATAAATTATATAAACATTAATAAATAAAATATAATTATATATATNAAAAGCTGCTGGACTTTCCCGGCATTTTTTTTTAAATCTGTTTTCATCTCTAATAATTGCTATCATTACCTTTTTATAAGTCGTAAGATCTGTTAAGTGGTTGGGGTCATATCTCCCGAACCAATAGTCCAATTTTGCTGAAAATTTCTAGAAATGTTTCCGCATAATACATAAACCTACCTGCAAAATTTCAGAAAATTTCGACGAATGACACGGGAGTTATTAAGCTTCAAATTAGGTGAAAAAAAACTATGCTCTCCACACACACCATCAATACATACAGGAAAACGATCGCCATACTTTCTCTCTGTTATAATATAACAATATCTTAAGTGTATTCCCTGGTTATTTAATTAGGAAGAGAACTAAATATATTTTTAATTCAATGTCCAGCGCTTCATTTAGGGTTATATAATATGAAATTATTACAAAGGTTTATAGGATGATAGGTAAATAGTAAAGGTATAGGAAAGGTTTAAAATAGGAATAAAGGATAGGAGTTAAAGACAAAGAAAACATTTTATCAGAAAAAAATCATACTTATAAATTAGAAAAAGACGTCATTTTTACTCACAATGCGTTTGGTCCTTAGAGGGTTAATTAAATTTATATAAACATTTTACGCCAAAATAAACGTAGACCTTCAATTATTTTTCTTTTGTTACTCTGATAAGTAAGGACTTATTTTGAATGATATACGTTAGGGATTCGTCATTCAACTAAAAAATAATTGAGAAGAGGAGGGAGAAAAATGTCTTTCGCAGTTTTAAACTTAAAAACTTAATATAATTTATAAGTGATTTAAATTAACGATCTTTAATTAGTTATTATTATTATTATTACATGCATCATCTATTTAAAATAATTACATAAGAATTTTTATATATTTTACAAAATCGATACGAAAATTAATAAAATAATGTATTTGTTAGATTTAAAATGAAGGATAATATTCGATTCTAGCAATAAACTAACAAGTAAGATCAAATCACAATTATAATTTATCTAATTTACTTGCCTACTATTCTTTTTTTTAAAAGTTTTGATTGTTTATTTCTTTAAATTAAACATCAAAGATTATAATTAATAATAATATTAATAATAATACTCCTTCTTCACGAATTTTATACACGAATTTTCATCAAGCCTTCAGGCTATATTAATTCTTCTGTTATCAAAGCATACTGGAAACAAAGTATTCGACATGTTAAATAATAAGCAAACAGGAAGAAAAAATTATTCATTAAATCATATTTAAAATAATAATAAATTTTATTCGATTTGTTAGTTATAAATTGTTTAATTGTATACGCGAATCTTCTGTCAATAGAAAAACAAATGAAGATTTGAAGATTATTACAATATAAATAAAAATATAAGAACTATTGGCTCATTGATTGCTCAAAGAGGATCCAATGAATCACAGGATTTATATCCTGCGATTCATTGGCTCCTCTTTACGCCTCATATGCTAATTGACCGTAAAGGAACCATTGACTCAAAGAGGATCCATACGTCCTGCGAGTCATTGGATCCTCTTTAGTACAAGTCTAAAGTACAAAAATGTTAATAACATTATGTTTTTTTTTTTTCCTACATATTTTAGGTTTCGGCTAACGTAATATTTCTCACTGCATCATCATTAGTTGGATATTTCTATCGTCGGATGACTGATGAGACTCACGAAAGAACGTTTGCCGGGACCAGAAGTTGCATCGAATCTCGAATTAAATTAGAGTACGAAAAGGAACAACAGGTAAATATATAAAATTGCTTCCATCTTGGTTTAGAACTTAAAAATTATCCTTTTTTTTTTATTTTCCAACAGGAACAGTTATTGTTAAGCGTCATTCCGGCTTACATTGCTGCTGAAGTCAAGCGAAGCATCATGCTGAAAATGGCGGATGCTTGCCAATCTGCCACTACTCAATCAAAGCAACGTTTCCATGAGTTATACGTTCAAAGACATAACAATGTTAGGTAATATTATATTTTTAAACCGAAGCCATTAAATCCTTTAATCCTATCTATACCTTTCCTATCTTAATTCTTTACTCCTGTAGCAAAGGATAAGTACTAGCATTAAAAGGGAAGAAAAAAAAAAAGGCCCAAGAAACTTGTATTTGAAAAGAAAATATTTGCCCATTAAAAAGACTTTATATTCTTTTAAAAATAAATGCCTACTTATTGGATGTTATCGACATTTTTATGTACGTAAATGATCTTAAACTACTCTGAAGTCATAAAAATGCAGGGGGATAGATAGTTATATAGTATATGTCAGCGGTGATCAAATGGTCGATGGCGAATAGCTTGTTATATATAATATATATGGATATGAATCTCTTCTCATCGATCAAATATACATATATAAATTATGTATATACCTTTATATAAATATAAAATAAAATAACGTTTTCAGGAAAGATTTCATTTAATAACATTTAAAAGCAATTTCTTATAGGAATAATTATTTTCCAATCGAATGACACTAGTCGAATATCTTTTAGAATTAAAAAGAAAATAAATAAATAAATGATATTTTGAATAATTAAATATTGAAAAAGCTGCTGGACTTTCCCGGCATTTTTTTTTAAATCTGTTTTCATCTCTAATAATTGCTATCATTACCTTTTTATAAGTCGTAAGATCTGTTAAGTGGTTGGGGTCATATCTCCCGAACCAATAGTCCAATTTTGCTGAAAATTTCTAGAAATGTTTCCGCATAATACATAAACCTACCTGCAAAATTTCAGAAAATTTCGACGAATGACACGGGAGTTATTAAGCTTCAAATTAGGTGAAAAAAAACTATGCTCTCCACACACACCATCAATACATACAGGAAAACGATCGCCATACTTTCTCTCTGTTATAATATAACAATATCTTAAGTGTATTCCCTGGTTATTTAATTAGGAAGAGAACTAAATATATTTTTAATTCAATGTCCAGCGCTTCATTTAGGGTTATATAATATGAAATTATTACAAAGGTTTATAGGATGATGGGTAAATAGTAAAGGTATAGGAAAGGTTTAAAATAGGAATAAAGGATAGGAGTTAAAGACAAAGAAAACATTTTATCAGAAAAAAATCATACTTATAAATTAGAAAAAGACGTCATTTTTACTCACAATGCGTTTGGTCCTTAGAGGGTTAATTAAATTTATATAAACATTTTACGCCAAAATAAACGTAGACCTTCAATTATTTTTCTTTTGTTACTCTGATAAGTAAGGACTTATTTTGAATGATATACGTTAGGGATTCGTCATTCAACTAAAAAATAATTGAGAAGAGGAGGGAGAAAAATGTCTTTCGCAGTTTTAAACTTAAAAACTTAATATAATTTATAAGTGATTTAAATTAACGATCTTTAATTAGTTATTATTATTATTATTATTATTTTAATATTGTAAATGTAACAGTTTTCTGTGTGGAAAAAATGAAGCAAACTAATTGTATTCACTTGAAAAAAAATGCTGATAAATTAAATTAGGTACACTTAACTAAATTCATTCTTCTAGAAAGTAAAGCAGTAAGAATTTAAATAAGTCTACCTAATTTAATTTCTATTAACGAACACTTTTTATGTTAAGTATTTGATTCTTCCTTGAAAAATGTAATAAATTTTCATTCAGATTGATTTCCAAGTAAACAAACTACCGTAACACCAGTAACACCTTCACGTTTTTAAGTACGTGAAGGTGTTACTGGTACTAAGGTGTTAAAATGAAATTATTATTATAGCGTATTAATTAATAAAATTAAACAGAAGTTGATAATCTATTAAACTATTAACATATTTTTTATAAATTATATACATATATAAATATACATTCAACGGTGTGGTGTAAAAAAGCCTTTGATTTATACATCAGTGTATACTTTAAAGGTATGATTATGTGTATTTACACACACACACACACCTTCTAGTGCTACAAATCTGGTCGTGTTTATGTACGTGTATATTATTATTTTTTTTTACTAGAAAATATTAGTTAGATTACATTATTTTCAGCTCATTTTATACTATAATGCCATAAAAAATATATTTATCCCGAAGAAGAGAGATATAAATTATTTAATACACCTTTACAAAAAAGAAATCGAACTCGCTTACACCCTACAACACACTTATTTTTCTTTTTAGAAATACTGTATATAGAATTTAAGTCTTTTAAAATCTTCGAAGATTTATTTGAGAGTTTTTATATGGCTAAAATAAATTATATTACCTAAAATATCATTTTAAAAATTGATATTAGGCTGTAAAAAAGAACACATAAACGTTGGTAAAATTCTTTGTTGTAATTGAAAAAAATAAAAAATAAAATTGTATTATAACAAAGTAAAGTTAATTACGACCCGTTCCTTATATTATATTTTAACTTATTTCACATAATTTTTCTATTATTTCTAGTATATTATATGCTGATATCGTTAACTTCACTCCTTTGTCGGAACAGTTGAGTGCTTCCGATTTAGTGCAGACTTTGAATGAATTATTTGGAAGATTCGATCAAATTGCACAGGTAAATCGTTAAATATAACTTATTATTCAGAATTTGTCTCATTAACTAGACAATCGATAATCCTATTATTCTACATTAATATGCAATAAATCTCTATAGTATAATTACACCTCAAAGTTTCAACTTTTGTAGACTTTATTATTACTTAATTATTATTTTAAAACTTTAAATTTATTATTATAATGAAGAGGATATATAAACGAATTACTTTAGGGATTATTCGATAGGAAAATATGATTCTAAACCATTATAATAATACATTAACTTGTTCCTTTTATTAACCATTTAATTTTAACGTCGAGTTCCAAATTGTATTATTTACAAATATATATAATTTTTCTCTCCCCATAGGATAATCATTGTATGAGAATTAAAATTTTGGGTGACTGTTATTATTGTGTTTCTGGACTACCCGTTTCCAGGCCAAATCATGCATCTAATTGCGTCAGAATGGGTCTAGCGATGATTAAAGCCATCAGGTAAAAGAAAAAAAAAGATTAAAATTTAATATAAAATTTCGACTTTTTTTTTTAAAATTTGCTTCGTTATTTTAATGGAAAACTGTCAACGTTTGTAGTATTTGCCATTCGGCTCATTAGTGAAATTCGATTTAAGAATTGGTTGGACTCGTTTAAAGTGAAATCGAAAATTGGGTTTAAGGATATCGATCGCAATATTTCGATGAATACCTTTTGGTTTATGACAGGAATTCAGAAATGGAGAGGCTTTAATTAACGAAACAATCCTCCTCCTCCTTCGTCACATTCCTCTAACGTGGTGCAAAACACTAAAAATCGCTCGGATGTAATTAAAACTTTGACAAAAGTTTTACTGTCGACATTCTACTAAATTTCCATTTATTCTTCGATAGAAACTTTATATTAAAAATAAATAAAATAGAATAAAATAAGAAAGAAACGAACGATTTGATGCCATTCGTGTTCTTCTTTTAGAGTGGTGCGTGAAGCCACCGATGTTAATGTCGACATGAGGATTGGAGTTCATACCGGCGATGTATTGTGCGGTGTATTGGGTCTTCGAAAATGGCAATTTGATGTATGGTCTGACGACGTCACCCTAGCTAACCATATGGAATCTGGAGGAGTTCCTGGGTGAGTTATCTTTTTTTTTTTCTTTGCTTCTTGCAAGTAGTTTTTAAAAGTTTAATTTCGTTTAAATCCTAACTATAATTTCTTTTTCTGTCAAATCAAACATAATCCTAATATGTCCTTCTTTTTATTTTTATTTTAAAAAATTGCTTCAGTCGTGTTCACATTACTAAAGCTACCTTAGAGCAATTGGATGATCGCTTCGAAATTGAACCGGGAGAAGGACATCTGAGAGATCAATATTTGTCTGATCATCAAATAGAAACTTATCTCATTGTTCCACCGAAAGTAAGTTAAGTTTTTTTTTCTTTGTCCGCTTCTTATTTGTAACGTAAAAAAGAAAGAAAAAAACAAATGGTTTACATTGTAGGAAGATGAAGATAAAGAACCGAGTCTTCAAAAGAAGGGTAGCTGTAGAGCTCGATCTTCTTCAAAAATGAATAAATGTATGGAAGGTTGGGGTGCAGATAAACCTTTTGCCAACATTTCCGAAACGACTTTAGCTAAAAACATACGCTTAACTGTAAGTGATCTTTGAATACGTTCGGCGTAATTTTTATTAAGAAAATCCATCGTATCTTGATAACAAACGTATCCACTGTTAGTTTATTAAATTGCAGTAAATCATCGATTTAAAAGACCCCGATTTAACTATTAAAGAATTTTAAATCTTTTTATTATTATTATAAAAAAAATATGCATAAATTAAATCACAAATAAGGAATACGAAATAATAAAAGATAATATAATTATTTAATCCCGAAATTAGCATTTTTATTTATTTATTTATTTACTTTTTTTAAGAAAGCTTTTAGTTGTTGTTAAATTTTCTGAGAAGAGATTAAAAGCAAAAAAAATACCACTAAATCCATTGGCGAATGGCATTCCCAGTGGAATTTTCAAGATGTTTTCTTTTCTTCTTTGATCAATATGACTAAGAATAGTTTCCCCCTTTCAGAGTCTGGCATTGATTGAGACGAATCTACTACCTGGATCGAGTTCGCTACTCAGTTGCAGGTAAAAATCCTACTGATTCAATTTATATATTAAGAAATTACTTGTAGAACAATAGGAAAAAAAAAAAGTCATTTATTCAAGTTGATATGCTGTATTTAGTTATAGTAGAAGAATTAATTCCTTTCTTTCTTATACCACATTTATCATCAGACAGTGCAAGCCTGCGGATGGCCTAACTACAATTCTGCTCCGATTTAGAACAAATGATTTAGAATCTCAATATCACAATCAACACGATTTACAATTTTCTTGGTACATGGGATGCTCCTGTGTTTTGTTTGTTTGTAGTACAATTATTCAGTTATTATTATATCCTATGTAAGTTATTTTTTTTAATATAAATTTCGTGTACACTTCACTAAGTACACGTTACTTCATTGAATAAAATATTTACGTTTATAGCACTTTAACGTTAATAGGAGTTCTATTGTCTACGTTAATAATTATTGGAATGCTTACGACAGCAAGTTGGATATCTCGTAAACAGGTTTGTACGCTAAATTTTATATTAGAAATTTTTATATACGAATTTACTTTTATTATTATTAATACAGAATTCCACTCATCACAATCATAATCAAGATTGTCCCACGGATGTTAGTACTAGTATCGTATTGAGAATTATTTTTTTCTTAATTACCAATTCTGTGGTGTTTGCAGCGTGTTCTGTTAACGTGGTAAGGTTTTTAAAAAAACATTAAAAATTCTAAAACATTTTCTTAATATTACCATTATTAATAATATATAATTATATTTAAGATAACCTGTGGTAGAGCTAGTACTTTACCTGTGGCATATTTAAGTAATAGTAGCAATATAACTATTCATCCTTATCATTTTTCACACGTAAGTTTTCAATTTTTTTTTTAAAATACTTTTTTGTGTTTACTTTTCCTTTTAAAATACGTTTACTTTCTTCGATAGGGTCATTTATTTCCAGCGGTTTTATCGTTAATCGGTGTGTCGATTTTCTTAAAAATGTGGTTTCTTCTCAAACTGGTAGTCATGGTCATTGGATTAATAGTTTTCTCTGTCATTTACACTGTAGTCCGTCCCGATCTTCTATCGAGACCCTTAGAAATGAATGGATCGTAAGTAATTTAATAACGACGACATTCGATAATATAAAAATAAAATAGTAGAAAGTGGATAGACAAATAAAATTCCAGTTATCTTTTTCATTTAGGGAATCCATCGATATGCCTCTTTCGGTATATATTATATTATCGTTAATCATTTTCTTAATTCTCTTACATGTTCTTGATAGACAGGTAAGTAAAATCTTATTCTTGAATAAAATATAACGTGATGATTAATGATAGATCTGTTTATCTTAGACCGAAGCTACTGCCAGGGCAGACTTTTTATGGAGGAGTAAATTACGGGTGGAACAAGATGATGTGGAAACTATGGGAAGCATAAATAAAATACTTTTGGAAAATATCCTACCAGCTCATGTTGCTAAACACTTTTTAAACAATAATAGAAAAAGTGAGGTACGGTAGATGTGAAGAAAATTAATTATTAACACTAGATATAGGACTAAACATTAATAATCCCTAATGAAATAATGGTGTAATATATTTACTACGGGATTCCGGGATCCCGGTTGTTTTTTTTTAACCCGGGAAATCCCGCAAATTTCTTAAAAATTCACTTTTTTTTTCTTATTTTGTGTTAAGGTTGAGGAATTTTGCAAATAGAAAGCATAATTAACTCATTCACTGTCAGAATACATTTGTATTTATTAATTTTAAACCTAACTATTAGTTTTTTTTTTAATTTTTGCTCGTTATAGCATGTCACAAATGGTCAATAATCAATATATAGCTTATTTGTGGCAGGACTATAAAAATTCTTTACTTGTCGGAACCTGTAATATCTGGAATAATTGTGCTTACGCTGTCTTGAGTTTTAACCATGCCCAGTAGCTTCAATAAATGCCTGACGC